CACACCCACGGCTGAAAAGGCAAGCATATTTGGTGGGACGGGGATTCGAACCCGCAACCCACAGATTGCGAGTCGAGCGCCATAACCTGGCCACAATGCAGTATGTATGCTCTGCCTACCATGGGTATAAAAACCAAATTTGTAGTGACATAAGTTCTCAGAATTACAGCTGATCTACCAGATGAGAGCTGAAGGAATGATTCTGGGTATAAGTTAAGATCTCTTATTTAATGAGAAAAGAGGACTAATAGTAATAGGCAACCTTATTTAAGTACAGTTATTGCCCAGGAGATCGGTAGGATGAAACTTTGTTATTTCTTCGTGCAATGTTCGATAAACAATAGGATGAAATGATATAAGTTTAAGATTTGGAAAAAGACAGGCTAGGCTCCAGTTAAGATAGATTATGAAATGAATTGTTGTCGGCAACAATAGAAGCCTGTACCTTGTAAGATTTCATAATGAAATCGAATGTTTCCTGAAAAATAAAGGGTTGGCTTAAGTTTCTATTTGTTAGTTGCCCTTTTTTTTGGGAAGGGGGGGGGTCTTTTGTTGGTGGGTGTACAGGTACAGCTTTAGTTAGCGCAATGCAGGTGTCGCTAAATTCTGCCGGTAATTTAATGCTTGTGGCATGTGTGTCGAAATGCTGTGGTAATAAGGCCTAGGGCTAAATTAATTTATTACTTTTTACATTTTTAGAAATTATCTTTTGTTCAGTAATAAACAGATTATCTGACTTTTTCACCATTTGATTATCAAAAGGTATGTAATGCATTAAGTAGTAATTAAATGAAATATTACTGAATACAATAGAAATTAGAACATTCTAACTTTATTATTTAAAGTTGAATTTTAGTTGTTTTTTTTAAACTTTAACTTTTAAGGCGTCAAAACGCAAGAAAAAAGTATTGTAGTCTGTACTACTTTTATTTTTAACATTTATATTATATTATTAATTAAAAACGATGTAACACTAATAATAGTAGTAACGTAGCATCGGTCTCTTAACAACAGTGTCGTGATTAGTCACATAAGTGAGTAATGTATTAATTAGGACTAACATTAACAATATTAGTAACATTAGAATTTAGATCCTGAGAGTGTTTGGTGAGTTAAAAACTCCTTATAAGGACACGATGAGTATTACTAATTTATATTAACACGTATCACTTGTACATATTGCAGTTAGAAATTGAATAAGGTTAACAGGAAATGGAAAATGTTTTATTTATTTTCTATAAGAGTATAACTTACAAATGGTATACAGTTTACTAATTACGGTACTAACATTGCATAATGTTTGTGTATCAAAACACTGAACAGACGCTATCAATTTTTATATAATTATCATTAATAATAACGTATGTGATAATTTTGTCCTTAAATGGTGCTATTAATTTGGATAACTAAAAAGTGGTGTTTAATATATTCTTGTTTTCACAAGACATCGAGTTTAGATAGAGTGTCTACATTTTCAGAAAAAAAAATGTTTTCTTTTGTTGTTATTGTTTTACAGTAAGAAACATTAACAGAGTTGAATGAAAGAAAGTTTAAAATTACCCAAGAATAAGTTGAATTGTATATACCTACTTCTCTAACTGGGCATCAACTTGAACTACGAAGAAGAAAATTAAGAAGATACTGTCAGTTTTGTAGTTGTGTTAGCATTAAACGTTGAGATGCAGGTAAGTTTTTAATTATATGATATAAAAGGTAAATTAAAAATAATGAAACATTTACTCATTACAAATATAGTGATAACAGTACTCCATAATTGTGCTATTCAGTAAATTCAGAAAAAAAGTTTGAAGTAACTCAGATTTTATGAACTTAATGAGAGTTTAGAATCATCATACTATTTCCTGATCCTCTCTCTCTCTCTCTATATATATATATATATAACTTTAATTTTAGTTATTATTATATTATGTTAGTTTTTAGAAATACATACTAAATTTATTGACTTTTATGTACCTAATGAATTCACATTCAAAGTACTCATTGAATATTGACAGAAAAATATAAGAAGTCAATATTAGTTAATTATATTTCCGTATCTTTTTAGATCTAATTATCACAAAAAATAATGTATATTGTCTAAATGTCAAGACACTGATGTTAAAGAATGTTAACTATGTATGTATATATAGCATATCTCTTGTGAATCATAGTTTATTGAAGATTTATTTTTATTGAAATTCTTATAATAATTTCAACCAAGAGTAGCATTTTGAAATTGTTGATAATGATTAATTCATTTTCTTTCACCCTTCAACTGTGGTTGACATCATATGATCTAAGCATTTTGCTCGCAACATTTTGAATGGCCTGCCACAAAAATTATTGAATCTTTGTACTTGGGGTGATAGGCAGATTTACATAAGCTGCTAACAAAGGGTTAATATTACTTCTGGGAGTTTAGAGTTGTTTTTCAAGGGTTACTTTTTGTTTAAATAAATTCTTACTGTTCTTATTATGATTCAAAGGTTTTAACCTAAGATATTTCTGATACTGTTTCTCTGATAATAAAACAATCACAATATTAAGGAGTGTAAACTTTTCACCTCAAAAGGAATTAAAGTTTACTTCAGATTTTGTATTTTCACAAGTTACCAAACAATATGTTATGTCTAAGCCATACAAACTGTTGAGAAGTGGGTAATATACATTATTAGCAATATTTTTGTTACGTGTATGTGTAATACATATTTCTAGATATTTGTATTTTCCAGACTTCATGTATTTTGTTCTTGAAATCTGTACTTGTTTACAGTTCATAATTTTAGGTATGGCTATTCTCCGTGGCCATAGCTATATTTCGTTCTAGATCATATAGAAATGCTAGTCACATAATCATTCTTTTCGTTGTTATAATTAAAAGCCCATGTGTATTAGTAAAGTGGCAATGTGCCTGCACTTTATGTACTGACATAGCAAAAATGGAATGCACATAAATACATATACAAAAGTACACGCTACAGGAGAGTTGTACTGCCAGTACATTGTTTAATCTGTAATGTAATTACTTTAAATCACATTGTGTAAAGTACATATATCGTGAAAGCTTTGTAAAAATATTTTTTTAACTTGAATGTTTGAGAGATGAAAGTGTTATCAAGGGAATATTTGCAAGGATAATATTATTTATTTAAGGCATGATGGGAAATGTTTTGAAATGTTCCATTGCAGTTTAATGTTCTTTTGGAATTGCATATTATTATATCGGTAAGCATCAAGTGCTGAAGAATAGGAACAATGAAAACTTGTCCCTATAGCAATTTGCATCCGGCTTTAAGCTTTTGTGCTTAGGTATGATGAAAGGTAGATAAGGTGGATGTACTGTTTAGGTTTAGTTTAGCTAGCATTACATATAAAAGAAACAACATATCATAAACAATTTAGAGCCTTATGAATATATCCACTGTAACTTTTAAATATTTATTTCTTATGTAGAGTAAAATTACAGTTATAAACTTTGAAGGCAGGGGTGAAGGGTTAAATCAATATCCTTATAAGTAAAAATGTTGATAGTTTGTATGGTTCTTGGTAGAACTTGTTTTATTACTGTGAATTTAACATTGAATTAAATAGTGCTACTTAGTAATTTGGGGAGTAATATTATGACACTTGTTTTAGGCTTAACCCCCATGGCTGGCATTTAAAAACTGTCATATAATGTTCTAACAGAATACCTTGAATATGCATAATGTTATGAAAGAAAATCACTGACAAAAGATTTTTTTATGTATACTACTCTCTTTGGTACTATACATGTATCTGGTGCATAGTAAATGTTAAGAATTGTTTCAAATTTACTCGTGATATATATTTACTACAACAATTCTGCTAAAGTCATTCTAGATAACAACAGAAAATATTATTTTTACAGTTCACTTGATTGTTCACACCTTGTTTCATTCTCATTTCAGATATAAACTTTTGATACAGAATAAATTTCTTTGATTAATTTACAAATAAGGAGATAACGTTGTTACCACATGTACTGTAGACTAGTTTTATCCAATCTTGACCCAGAGCATTCTGCGGAAAAATATTTGAATTGTCCTGAATCATGTAGATATTAATTTCTCAGTGATAAGTAAAAAAAAAGGACCAAGAGATGAAAAATAAAGTAGTGGGATGACTTGCAATCTGCAATTTGAGGGTTCAAATCCCCATCACCAAACATGCTCACCCTTTCAGTCACAGGGGTGTTATAATGTGATAGTTTTACAAAATGAAAAATGTTCTTAAGCTAAGATACCATGCACAAGTATGTGTGTGCTGTTATATTTAACCATCAGATTTTTTTTTATATTGCACTCTATATATACGTTTTTTTTCTTTGAAAGCAACAAGAGAAAGGAATTTGTTTCTAAGTCTACTTGAATTTTTAATTTGTGCTGGTAGGACCCGAATGCAGATACTGAGTGGAATGACATTCTAAGGTCAAAAGGAATCCTTCCTCCTAAAGAAGATACGAGTAAAGAAATTACAGAAGATCAAATAATTGATATTGTGGAAAATACAGTCGAACAAAAATTAAATGGTAAGCAAATATAGTTGTTGAAAGTGTCATACATATACAGTGGGTAAAGAGTCATTCATATACATTGAGTACATGAGAAGGAGGCTTAAGTTATAAACAAGACCAGTGTGCTTTAGCCCATAAATTTGTTAAGCAATGTAGAAGATCTACATGATGAATAGAGCATCTTATATTGTTGAATTGTGGTTTGTCTATGGTACTTGCAATGTCCTATACTCATCAGAAATAACCTGAATATTAATACAAGTACTTGAAGAATAGGTAACACTAATATTACCAACTGATTATTTACACAAAAGATTGAGTACATTGTATTAACCATGTCATTGTAGGCAATGTTTGTCACATCTAGTCGTGTTCTGACATCCATGCATGTTGTCAATAACCCCACAGTGTAGTTTACATTGCAGAAGGCTTTGTTGCAAGACTGTCATGTCCAAAACTCACCATTCTTCCTGTAGAGTTTCCATTATCCATCTAGTCTATGAGGATGATGATTTTCTACAGAAATTCATTGACTCTGCATCAGGTGACTTAACTGATATGTCTGTGTATGGAATATCATGAATACCTGTTTCATTTTGCAGTTGCTCTAGGTATGCAACTGCTGAATGGAAGGTTTGACTAGAAGCCATATCTTAGTAAACCCCCAACCTGTTGGTGTCATTTTCATACATAACTGATATTTTTCCATGGTAAAAGGGATCCAAAGTAATAGTTTTATAGTAAACAGACTTCAGCTTGATTTTTGAGTCCACTCTCTTGATCCCTAACTTGTTTGGGTCATCAGTCTTTTTCAAAAAGTTTAGTGGTGAGCCACTTTTAAAAACATTTTTCACCCTTTTTCTGGTAAATAAATGAACGACACTTGTTACCAAGTTACATGTGTTTTGTCAAGTGTCACCACATTTTGTTGTTTTTCCCATTCATACAGTTTTCTACAGTTCATCTTCCTTTTCTCGGGATGTCATATAAATAATTTGTGTACATGTGACTTTTTTTACTTTTCCAAATGGAGATCCTTCTTAATTGTGTTATGTATTATTGTGGAAGACATATACACAGCTTTTGCCACTGACCTTTTAATATTATGTATGTTTTAAGTTCTTAAATTTATATGGCAATATTAAAAAAAAATCAATGTGAGAAATGTGACATTTTCCCTCTTGGCATCGTCTCTTCTCTAATTTATTCACCACTTCTCCAATAAATAAGAAATTTAATGTAAATTACTCACTAAATATCATCAGCGCTCACTTGTTACAAGATGTTGCACTTTGCTTATTATGCTGGGGTACAGCTTGTTGTTCATATGGTCTTGGTGTCCCAAGCTGATCCATATTTCTTTGTTTTCCAATTCTGAAACCCTGATCTTAACATATCTTCTGGAAAACAATCTATTTATGGCTACATTACACAACCTACAACATGCCAAACAATGTTGAAATATTGTCCTGATATATACTGTTCCACCACAACTATATTGTCAGTAGTTGTCACATGACTTTTGTTATACATCAAAAGAGTGTACTTTTTATGGAAAACAAAAATATGAAGCCCATTCTTATCATTGAGTTAAATTGGTTGTTCATCCATCATCATTAATCTTGAACAGGTCACACCAAAAAACAAGAACAGTCTTCTTATATTTAATGAATTATTGTTTGTGTTGTGTTTGTAATGTTCTTCGGGAAGTGTAGTATCAAAGGTTGGTTACTTGTAGTGAGAAAAAGACATTACAAACACTATACTGTCACATAACATAGTTTTTATAGTGTATTTTAAGAAATAATAAAATTAATAAATTGAAGTGCAGGAAAGGTCAGCTGTGTTAGTTGATCTTTTACAATAGTATAGTTACTGACAATGGTGGGTGGGTGTATATAATATTTATGGAGTTTTTAAGTCTTTTAATCCACCATTTAGTAACCTAAATTAACTTAAATATGTGAATAATACCATGGCATTGCATTAAATAAATTATCTGGTATTATACAGTGGACCAACTGTTTGATATTAGGTTCCTTTTCTTTTCAACAATGGTAAGATTTAAAACATAATCTTTGACGTGGAGGTCTAATATGTTCCGTGATTTGTCCTACCTACTCTCTGTTTTGGACTGTAGTTTTGCCTCTTCAAGGTTTGTTAGCTCAGCTTGGGTCAGCAAACCAAAGAAATAAAGTAAGACCTTTAATAATGGTGATGTGTATATAATAATTATGAAGGTTTTTAGACTTTTTAACTCACCATCTAGAGCACACACACACTACATCATAAGAGAGAGAGGCATTACTGTATTTCTTTGGTTTGCTGGCCTAAATTTTGTTGATAAGCCTTGTATAGTTACTGATATTTAATCAGAAGTCCTTATCATTGATACCTTAATTATAGAAAGTGTATTTATTTTCCGATTCATAGTTAATAGCAAAACATTTGGTCAACGGGCACAGAAGACCAGCTCATACATGGATCATGCTGAAATTCAAAGTTTAAAAAAAAACATGTTGACTTGTGTTTATGAGTGTTGATAATGCTGTCAGTTCCAGTGTGAAATATCTACATGCTATCCAGTTTGAAAAATATTTACACGCTATCCAGTTTGAAAATATTTACACGCTATCCAGTTTGAAATATTCACATGCTAATTACTTTCAGTTTTGAAAAATATCTACATGCTATCTGGTTTGAAAAATATTTACACGCTATCCAGTTTGAAATATTTACATGCTAATTACTTTTAGTTTTGAAAAATATCTACATGCTATCTGGTTTGAAAAATATTTACACGCTATCCAGTTTGAAATATTTACATGCTAATTACTTTCAGTTTTGAATTCCAGCACCTGAGATGTTATTGATGTTTTTTTCTATCTAGTTGTCAAATGTTATGAGGACATGACTCTGGATGAAATTGAAGCTCTCGAAGATGAGGAAGATGAACGAGTCCTGCTTGAATACAGGTAACATTTTAAATAAGTCAGAAAACTGTAGATGTATTAGCATCTTAGTATTATAACTCAGCACTAATTGCTTTTTTTTTCAGGTATGACACAAATGAGATTTTGCAGGATTCATAAGTGAAATGATCAAACATAAATGGGGCAAATGAAGGATAATTCAAAGAGACACAAAAAAGCAGATAATAAACTAAATTTGAAGGTTACTTATACATACTACAAGCATTTATTTTTAATCACTTCAGTAATATTCTCAGTACGTTTGACAGGCAGGTTTTTAGAAAAAATGTTTACACTTAGTATATTACTTTTTTGTCAATAACAAATTAATGAAGGATGTGATATAATTTTTTTTAAAATTATATTGCAGATTTATCTTTTTGCCAATGTTAAAAAAAAATTCTATTATTATATTATATAAGGTAGAAGTAAACTGAGATAACGTACACCAGCTGGTTTTAATTTTGTAAAGTTTTAAGGTAAACCATGGTAAACTTGCATTTTCCTTAAATTTGCATTTTTTTATTTAAATGAAAATAAGGAAAGTAAAATTCAGTAAGTATATCCATTTTCATCAAATTGTGAAATCGGAGATATGAAAGATAAGACAAGCTGTTTTATGTTCCGTCAAGGTTTTTAATTAATTTCTTTGTATTCCATGGTTTTATGTAAAATATTTTTAGGTTCTCTGCTAGATTCGTGAAATCATATTGTCATCTACGACGACGGTAAAGTAATTACAAACGTGGGGAGTAATGATTAATTACAGATCAATCGGCAGTTCGTGGACCTGAATATTTCACCATCTACTAAGTTAAGGATACTGGTAAACTGAAGAAAGATGTACACTTCACTTCTTAAAGTGCCCGGCATGGCCAGGTGGATAAGGCGCTCGACTCACAATCTGAGGGTCGCGGGTTCGAATCCGCATCCCACCAAACATGCTCTCCCTTTCAGCCGTGGGGGCATTATAATGTGACGGTCAATCCCACTATTCGTTGGTAAAAGAGTAGCCCAAGAGTTGGCGGTGGGTGGTGATGACTAGCTGCCTTCCCTCTAGTCTTACACTGCTAAATTAGGGACGGCTAGCGCAGATAGCCCTCGTGTAGCTTTGCGTGAAATTCCAAAACAAACAAACAATCACTTCTTAAGAAAAAGACATTCTTACTGCAGTGTTCTTCTTCTATCCATACATTGTGCATACTCTACTAAAAATCTGGTATTTTATCTCATCATCTCACAAATACTAATGTCCTGTTTTTGAAACAAGGGGGAAAAAAGAGCTTTAGATACGAGAGATGAAAGTTAAGATGTTCTCAGCTCTTTACTATTATCCAGTATTTTAGCTCATTGGAAGTTATGTAAGATAGTTAAGTCATGAAATGCCCTAGACAATACATTTTATTTATTAATAATGGCACCATTCCAAGAATGGTGTAAATTTTTTTCATCTATATGGTACTGCTCAGAACATTTGTCACATAATCTTATATGCCTGAATATTCACTTAAATTCGTATACTTTGAAAGTTAATTACTAGCAGGGGTTCAAAACTACTGGCAAGTTTTAGGTGCTGGTGTAAACCATTAGAAATTGAGGGAATAATATTCCTCGGAATGTGGAACCTGGAAAGGACACACATACAAACACTCATGGGTTAGATGCTGGTGTAAACCGTTAGGAATTGGAAGAATAATATTTCTCGGAATGTGGAACCTGGAAAAGACACACAAACACAAACACTCATAGGTTAGGTGCTGGTGTAAACCGTTAGGAATTGGAAGAATAATATTTCTCGGAATGTGGAACCTGGAAAGGACACACACACACACACAAACACTCATGGGTTAGGTGCTGGTGTTAACCGTTAGGAATTGGAAGAATAATATTTCTCGGAATGTGGAACCTGGAAAGGACACACAAAACTACTGGCAAGTTTTAGGTGCTAGTGTAAACCGTTACGAATTGAGGGAATAATATTTCTTGGAATGTGGAACCTGGAAAGGACACACACACAAACACTCATGGGTTAAGGATTGAGGGCTTTTATCTTGAGCTTTAATTGTTTTTTACAAATGTAGAAATTAGAAAATGGTTATGTATGGGAGCCGTGGGGGCGTTATAATGTGACGGTCAATCCCACTATTCATTGGTAAAAGAGTAGCCTTAGAGTTTGTGGTGGGTGGTGTTGACTAGTTGCCTTCTCTTTAGTCTTTCACTGCTAATTGGGAATGGCTAGAGCAGATAGCCCTTGTGTAACTTTGGATGAAATTCAAACAGAAAAAAAAACAAATCCAAATCCAACCAGAAAAGAATAAATTTCATGCTAAAAAGTTTACTTTGGGTACATAGTTTCATAAGAAGTTAAATTTAGTTCAAACTACTTACTTTTTGTTATAGTGTTAGCGATAAAATTTTTTTCTTTAACAAAATGATACTTTGAATCTCCTAAGAAAAAAGAGGATAGCAGAAATGAAAGAGGCTGCTCTGAAGGCTAAATTTGGAGACGTGCGAGAAATATCGGCTGAAGATTACACGGAGCAGGTTAACAAAGCTGGAGAGGGAATCTGGGTAGTGTTACATCTCTACAAGTCTGGGTATCTAAACATGTTATTAACTGCTTTCTTATTTATTTGAGAAATAACTTAAATTTGTATTCACAATTTGTAATTTCTGTCAGTGTATAATAGTTTTCTTCAGGATCATTTTGATTTGAGAAATGACTCATACCTACTGAGGACTGAAATTCAGTGGCTTATTTAGAAAAAGAGCAAAAATTCTATACAAATACCTGTAAAACAGTCTTCATTCCATCTCAAGTATTTACTGAGCTGTTAAACCCTGTCTTGTTTAATTTCATGATGAAACAAGAAATTCGCTAGCTTTATAGTAATAACTTAAACTTTGTTACTCTTCGGTAAACTTTGAATCTTACAAGGTTGTTACACTCTTCAAAAGATTTCTGAACAATAGTGATGCATTAAGATCACAGTTGGACTTACAATGAAATAAAACTACAAATTTTGTTTGTTAACTGGTGACACATAATTATAAGAAGTATAAAATAATGTTCACCTTTACATTACGTTGTTAAAGAGTGAAAACATTAGTGTGAAAAAATTTATTATCAAAGCATTGAGTAAATAAACGACAGCTAGAGATCTATTTCCGTTGACATTGCAAGATATACAGAGATACACGATATACTGTCTTGCTACCGAAAATAAAGTTGATTAGAAGTGGAAATAAGCTTCGCAATTTGACAGAAGACAAAACTGGACTCTGACCACAAACATTCTCCAAGGCAAAATCTAGGGTAAAAACCTCAGTTGTTATTAATCAACTGAAGTAAAAAACAAACCAATGAGATAAAGCAGTAGAGGTAACACTTATTGCGTAGATCAGTAAGTTATGGTAAAAAATTATGGACTGATACTTGTGTAGGGATATTTGAGAACTAGTTAATGCAACACAAGTTTGTTTGTTTTTTGAAAAATTATAATGAATATATTTTTTCTAATTTCTGATTTACTTAAATTTATTTCCAAGTTATTATAGTTAATTACTAAAAAATTTTTATGTGCCATTATTTTTAAAGAACAAATAAATTTGGTTTGTGATTATTTTAGAAATATTTTTCATGAACTTTTAAGTTTCTTTTATCATCAGATTAACAACCTGCAAATCAAACATTATGAATTACATAGATTGCTAAGAAATTCCTTACAATATCTGTGAATTTACAACAGAATTGTAGAAAATGACATCTATGTTACATATTTGTACAGTTAATAATATCATAGACAGTTTTTGTATGATACAAAGGTTGGATACTGACCTTATTTCGGAATTTTCTTTTGTAGGATCCCCTTATGTACGTTAATTAACCAGTTCTTAACACATCTAGCTCAAAAGTTCCCGGCAACCAAGTTTTTACGCAGTATTTCTACCACTTGTATACCAAACTTTCCAGATAAAAACTTGCCTGCTATTTTTATCTACCATGAGGGGGAACTGAAGAAACAATTTATTGGTTCTGATGAGTTTGGAGGAACTAAACTGAAGTTAGAAGGTGGGTAACTTGAAGCTCCTTCCCTTTTAACTATACTGCTTATGTAATAAACACTAAATATTGTGTTGTAAAGACAAAACGTGAACCATCCTCGACATTAGGAGACTTTTTAATGAATAGCATGAAAACTAATGTTTCATTAAATTAATAGTTATAGGTTATTATATTATTATTATTCAAGACACTTCGTTATAATGTTTGATAGGGGAACCTACTGATTACTTAATTTAAAAATAACATAACGGTAATCTTTACAGTAGGTAATTTCTGATTTTAATGAATACAATGTTTGGATCCATAGTATCGGGTCATTATAACGTAAACTGATGAAGTCCTGATACTATGGATCCAAATGTTATAATCATTAAGATTAGAACTTCCTTACTGTAAAGGCTGCTGTTATTATATTTTTGAATTCCATTATAATCATGGATTGAAATAGTTTGAGATACCTTTATGTCAAGATATGTATTTTAAGTAAAACTTCTCTATACACCAATGAACTTTACAGAAACTAGTAAATGTGAAATTAATGATGAATGGGGAACACAATTATGTTGATAATATTTGCAGAACTGGTTTTATTAATCCATATTGCACTCATTACTACTAAAACTATAAGGCTAACTTTCCAGATGTAATTTGATAGATTGACAATATAGACTTATTCATTGCTATATAGAAGTATTGAATAGCATTTAGTAGGCTTAAACAACCAGGTTCAGATATTGCTTGGTGACATGCAAGTGTTATAAAAATTAATCTTGTATGCATGAAACAACTTAAATACCCTAAAAGACAAAGTACTTGATTAAAGTTGGTACAGTTACAACCTTAGTACTACAGTAATGCCTTCGATTACCTGTGGTTTTGTTATCCACAATCCTCGATTTTTTTTCTTTCCCCAAATTTTCTCAATATAATTGTGCCATTACAATTCTAGATAATCATTTACATATTTTGAAGAAACTGTCATTCAGAAATTGATTTTGGTTCCAATAGTTCAAGTGTAGCATGATATCCGAGGTTTTCGCATGCATTCAAATCGTAAGTCGGCTAGTTCAAGCCTAGCCTATTTTATTTTTAGCTGTTAAGCTTGTTAATTTTATTTGATTAGTAATTAAGAACATAATATACAAAAACACACATTAAGATTTCATAAATATATCACCCAGTTTCAGTTGTTGTCCTCTGTTCTGTGCTGCATGGCAGGCATCTTTTAACCACATACGATGACCATGTGATTGCATACACATCTGTTCTTCTTCTGAAGCAAAATCATCATCTTCCCTACATATAATTGATATCTTCATTCTTTTTAACAAAGGATTTTTTGTAATAGTTCCCAAGCATAGATTTGCACAAATTTTTGACTGATTTTTCCCAGGCGTTGATAGGGTGTGAATGCACTTCTGTGGCTATTGCAGTAAAAGTGCCAAAATTTAGGAGCTACTTATGCCAATGTTAGCAATTAAATTCAACTAAGATGGGAATGGCCAATCAAAAGTGGAAATGTTATATGAGAAAAAGTGGTATTGGACTCCTCTAACTCACGAAATTCAGAGAAATTGAGTGTGACTGACTAACTGACACTTGGCTTTTATGATTATGACGACTTTTATAATTTTTCTTAATAATAATGTGATTAAATGACAGTAAAAAGATTATAAATTAAAACAAGGAACTTAAATATACTGAAAACTTTTACATAGATTAAACAATGGGTTAATAGTGAGATACACTAGTGCCTCGATTATCTGCTGTTTCTGTTATGTGATTTTTTTTGCCTTCATGGATAATCGAGGCACTAGTGTACCTGAACATGAAACTTGTTTAAGGCCTACTACATGTATGTATGT